CATTCGAAACCGAATTGACTGAAGTGGCTCTTGCATAAGACCGCAAAGTCCTCGCTTCAATGGGTTTCTAGCTGAAATGACAAACTTTTATTTGATCATACATTAGAATTGAGGTAACGATTCATTATTAATGATTCTCGTGCTTCCTTTTTCCACGAATATTTTATTTAAGACTCAGTCCATGGAGTTTACACAAACTTGAGTGCCAAACAACCATCTGCTTCAATTGGTTTCTAGCTGAAATGACAAAATTTTGCTTGATCATACATTAGAATTGAGGTAACGATTCATTATTAATGATTCTCGTGCTTCCTTTTCCACGAATATTTTATTCAAGACTCAATCCACGGAGTTTACACAAACTTGAGTGCCCAAACATCATCTGCCTTGTATACTATTAATCCCAGACGTCCTTTGAAATGGCTTTTTTTTAGGCCGTCTCACGCACCGTTAGTCTCATTCACGTGATTCAAAAAAGGTGATCACATGGTGACAAACAATTGTTGGCGTGGATGGCCAAAATTTGCAGCACAGCGTTTGCAAATTCCTCAAAATTTCCAAGTTCAAGGTAAATCTTATCCATGCGATGGATTTTGCATCCATTGAACTCTTCTCTGTAACTTATCCTGGATTGCATCTTGTTAGAAAGTGCGAAACTCGACCGAAAACTTACAAACAAACTGTGATCATGAATTCGTCATCACGCGGTCGCTTTTTTTGAATTACGTGAATGAAGCCATTTCAAAGGACGTCTGGATCGTGTTTTTATTTAAAGGAGCTCAGTCACGGCATTTTGAGGTATTTGTGCCATGTACAAAATTGCCTTTAAACTGACGGAAACCTGGAAATAATCTCTTTAACTAAGATACAAAGACACTAAAGAGATAATAATTAACGAAGGAAAAAGGATGGTTAAAGATGGAGAAGAATGACACGGATTACAGAGCACGAACCTGGGCTAAGCTTTTCAGGATACGCTGACAAACCGTGACGAGGCTCCTTTAACATTTGAAAATGATAGTTCTCTCCTCTCATTGTCGTGTGTTCGTGCAGGTCTATCAGCATTAGCTGTTCGAAGTTGCTTGGGCTTTTACATGACAATAATGATTAAGTTGCCTAGTTCACTGTTGGTGCTTAAAATCGCCCATGTCTTACGTTTCCAAGGCACTTTCGGAGTTTACACCTGTTTCGAAACACATGGGCAATGTTATATAAGTCTCTCTTTATTTTTCTTTTCGAACTTAAAACAGCTCCTTATAAACAGATGGATTGAGGTGCAACGAAACAACTAATTTTTATTCTTATTAAAATTACAATTTACTCCACATCATATTTTCTTCTTATTGAGAATTCATGTGAATGACGCAGAAGTTCTAATTGACCATTATCATAATAAAGATTTCAAAAGGTCTTCTCCAATTCTTTAGTCAAGCTAATTCCCACGATTGTTTAGTCGTTCATCATTATCCTCCGTTCGTTTACGCCAGCAATCTTCACGACAAAGAATTGAAATCCGATACTAAGTGAAGGATTTGCAGGTTCTCGGTATGTTTTAAATGCCGAGAAGATTCGAAAGTAATTGCCACTCT